CACACACACACACACACACACACACAATAAATAAATAAACACACTGAAACTCAGCAGGACAACTGAATCTGTGCTTCCGTGTCCAGTACCCAGCACAAATTGTGGCAGGCATGAGCTCCAGAGGGCGTGGGCACCTCCTTCCCTGCAGCACTGCCAGTTGCCGCTTGCAGGGCCTCTCTGTCTGGCTTCACTTGCTGCCCGAAGCCTTGCTCAGCAGGTGACCCATATTCTTTTAGCTTCATTTTTTTTTTTTTAAAGACAGGATCTCCCTATGTAGCTTCACACACCACCCTCTCAGGTGTACTGCCTGGCCTCCCAGCCTTCTGTTAAATCTGGGTGGAAGCCTTCCTCATCCCACCACTCTTGTGTTCTGCGTGCCTGTGAAACCAGCACCATGTGGATGATATGGGCTGCCACCAGCTCAGCCAGTAGTTAGGTCCCCTTGGACTGTGGCCGCAGAGGCCTCCAAATGCCCGGATAGTTGAATACTGTGAAATAAATATTGGCGAAGCAATGCCCTAAGTAGCCCATCTTGAGCTGGGGGCCCAGGGACTCCCCTCTCAAAGGACATGCTTATAGTTTTGAACCTTTTAGACTGCACATGATGATTCCTCAGGTACCTGTAAGCCGTCTTTACTGTTGTCCTGATGAAAGTTAGCGGCTTCTTTTTAAGGCTGATATTTTCAGTGACAGCGCTTTGCTTTCCGTGGTCCCAGTTTGGCTGTCACTGCATTTCTGGAAAAAGTGGGTCCTTTCCAAATGGGCCTTTTGCTCTTGCTTCTCACTGTAATTCAGGCTGCAAGCAGTCAGAATATCGCACTGCACAGCTCAGAGGGTGAGCCCCTTAACATTTCTCCCATGAGATTTATTAGTCTGCTTCCTTTAATCCAGTCTCCTGCAAAGGCTCGGACGTGGGCAAGATGCAGACAGATTTCTCGCCCGCATGTCATATACATGGTCTTCATTCCGCCTGCCAGTGGAGGCCTTCTTCCCAACTGCGATCTCCAGAACCTAGCCTTACTGACTGTACTTCTGTCATCAGCTTTCTGGTCTTTAGAGCTCTGACCACAATCTGCCACTAAGCTCAGCTCCTAGCATTCGAGGGCTTTTTTTTTTTTTAGAGAGGATCTCCCTACATAGCCTAGGTTGGCCTTGAACTCCTAGTGACCCCCGTCTCAGCCTCCCGAGTACTGCAGTTCCAGGTGCACCAGCATGCCTGGTTCTGGAGCTTGTCTTGCCAGCATCTCCAAAGCTTCCCAGACTCCTGCTGCAAGCCACTTCCAAAGGCTCCTGAACCACGTGGCCACTTAGAGTCCGGCCAGTGATGCTGCTTCTCTGGTACCAAAGTCTGACTGGTCACATTCTGATTGCTGGGCCCCAGTACCCCTGACGTGTGTGACCTAAAGGTGAAGAGGTTTATTTTGGCTCAGTATTACAGTGCCAGGCTGGCTGGCCCCAAGGCAGAGACGGCAGGTGGGAGGGTGGAGTAGAGGGAGCCCTTTCCTCACTGCCACTGGGAAGCAGAGGGTGAGTCACACCTCTCCCGACCACGCCCCACAACCTACCACTTCTGACCTGACCCTGCCTCCCCCCAGCACACTGACACTGAGTCTGCAGTGGATTAACCCACAGATGAGTGTGTAGCACCTGCGTGATCCAGCCACTTCCTGAGAGGCCCCCTGTGAGCTCCTCATGCGCCTTGGGGGGCAAGTTCTGATTTGTACCAGGCCGGCAGGCTGCTGGCCCTCGCCTCCGTCCCGCCCTGCTCCCTGGGCATGGCGGGGTGCCATGTGGTGGTGCCGACCCGGGTCCTCCTGCAGGTTCGTGATCCTGTCTGTGGTGCTCTTCGGCCTGGTCTACAGCCCACATGAGGCCTGCTCCCTGAACCTGGTGGACCACGGCCGCGGCTACCTGGGCATCCTGCTGAGCTGCATGATCGCCGAGATGGCCATCATCTGGCTGAGCATGCGCGGGGGCATCCTCTACACGGAGCCCCGGGACTCCATGCAGTACGTGCTCTACGTGCGCCTGGGTAAGGCTCACTCAGCGTGCACACTGTGAGCCAGGGCTCCACCAGCACCAGGGAGAGTAGGGCCCGGGGACATCCCGGGTGGGCCAGCGTGCATGGAGGGGCAGGGCACCTGCACTTGTCTGGGCAGCCGGGCTGTGCTGGCCCTACAGCGGGCCAGAGTCTACACTACTTGCTCTCTGGCCCTTTAGAGACAAATTTGGCTGTCCTTGGTTGCCGTCACCTCAAACAGGCCCAATCCACCCTGGCCAGCCCTTTGACAGGCTCCTCCTCCTGCAGCTTGACAGGCCTCCAGCTGGGAAGTAGACGCTTTTGTGGCTGGACATTTGTGTCCTCTTCCCGTGGGTGGGAGCTGGGGGTCCCTGTGAGATACCCCCAGCCTCACACAGTGCTATGACATAGACCTTGTCACCGCACTTCTCAGGTGAGGACTCAGAGGCTTAAAGGTTAGGTGGCTGGCCTAAGACAGGGTGCTTACGAGCTCGTGCACAGAATTCTGAAATCCTGAAGGAAAAGAAGAACCTTGTCACCACAGCTCGGCCCTCCAGGTGCTGACAGGCCCACAGAACCTGCAGGACAGAATGAGGGGAGTGGCCTCAAGCCCAAATTATGCTGGCGGGGGAGGGTGCACCCAGGCCCTTCCCTGGGGGACCGCAGTGCCAGCCTCAGCCCAGCCTCTCCCTGCAGCCATCCTGGTGATCGAGTTCATCTACGCCATTGTGGGGATCGTGTGGCTCACACAGTACTACACCTCCTGCAACGACCTCACTGCCAAGAACGTCACCCTCGGTACGCCAGCCCAGGTGGAGGTGATGTGTGGGTCGGAGGGTGGGGAGCCCTTTGTCTGGAGGGTCCAGGCTGGGCGGGCAGCGGGGCAGCGGCTATGTGCCAGGGTGGCTTGGGGCTCACGGCTCTGCAGGGCCAGGCAGGGCTTCTGAGCCTCTCCCTGGGCCCCGGTGTCCCTGTCTTCAGAGCTGGTGACCAGTGTCCCTGCATCCCCTTGCTTCCCACGGCTGCCCCCAGGGATGGTTGTCTGCAACTGGGTGGTCATCCTCAGCGTGTGCATCACTGTCCTGTGTGTCTTTGACCCCACGGGCCGTACCTTTGTCAAGCTGAGGGCCACCAAGAGAAGGCAGCGTAACCTGCGGACCTACAACCTGCGGTCAGTGGCCGGACAAGCGGGTGGTCTGTGTCCTGGCAGGGCAGAGGGTGGCTCTGCTGTCCATGAGAGACCCTCCCCAGGCTGCCTTTCCCACCTCGGTTTCCATGTGGGTATTGTATGTGTCATAGCTCCTGTCTTGTCACACGGCGAGGCTCACAAGATAAGGGCAGGTGCCATCACAGGCAGTGGCACTGACGGCCGCTGTGGCCACCCAGGAGATGTGGCCTGCTGGCTCACACAGAGCCAGTTGCCCCTCCCTGAGTGGCTGTCACTGCACCCTGCACAGGGACCTGGGGTCCTGAAGAGCAGAAGGCAAGGCCGGGAACTGTCCCAGGATCAAACCCTTGCTGCCCCCCTGGGCAGGGCCACCTCTGGGCTTCAGGGTGGAGGACAGCATGGGAATATGGGTTCCACTGTGTGGAGCACAAAGGAGGCATGAAGAGGGTCTTCTGGGGCTGCCTCCCCCACAGCAGCCACTTGGCCCCTGGCCACCCCCGCGGGCTTCCAGACACAGTGTCTGGACCACCGTCTGCACCACTTGGCAGCTGCTGGTGCAGGGTGTGGACGTGGCCCTCGGCCCCTGGCCCTGAGCTGCAGTATGGGTCCCATGCCCACCCCAGTCCCAGGGGCCACCCACGTCCGCCCATCTGCTCCAGAGCCACACCCTCCCCTGGCCTGGCCTGCCCACTTCCCAGGCCCAGAGCCACTTCCCTCCCCGTGCCCTCCTGGCTCTGAGCTCACACGCTGTCTGACCTGGTCCTGGGCTCCAGGAACTGAGGGAAGACCCCACTCCTCACACTGGGTGATCACTGGACAGCCGCCCTCACCCCTGCTGCGGGCTGGTGGGCCGTGTTTTAATCAGAGAGCGCTCTGTGGTTTCCGCTGCCAAGGCGAAGGGCACCCTGGGTCTGCTGTGGTTTCCCTCCCATGTGGGCTGTGCTGGCCTGCCCGCTGGGCTGCAGCGTGTGCACGCAAGCACGCTTCCCAGACAGACAGCCGCTGTAGCACCGCTACCCCATGCAGCTGCGCATGTCTGCAAGTGAGGGTGCGTCTGCCTTGGCTTCTCCCTGGCCGTGAGGCAGCGGGGCTGACGTGCGCAGCTGGTCCCAGTGCCTCCCCTAGAGGCTGGACTTCCCTGCATGCAACCTGATTCTGTGTCTCCTGGCCCAGAGGCACTGGACTGTCCCTGTCACCTGCTGGCATGCGGTCCTGAGATGACCTTCCCCGATGCCCATTGAGGGCACTGTGGTGGGGCATGCAGGCTGGCAGGAATCCGCTGGCTTTGCAACCCCTGCTGGCTTAGAAAGCACCAGAGAGTGGCCCTGTCTCCTCACCAAGCCCTGGAAGAAGGCCCGCGTGCTTAGGATGCAGGGCTGCTTGCGCCCCATATCCCCCACCCCCTCCACAGCCTGGCAGACCTGGACCTTCCTGTGGCCACCTGCCTGCTCTAGGAGTCGTGGCAGGCTGTTCCTTGAGCAGAGAGGAGGCCAGGCTAACAGCGCCTGCCTGTCCCTCCTGCCGGCTGCTGAGGGCCCTGGGCACATCTGAGCCCCTCCTTGACCCTGCTGATGCCCAGCCCTGGGGAGGACAGGAAGGCCCTATCCTACTGCCACCCCAGGCCCTGGGCCTGAACCTCTGGGTGTCCGAGCTGCAGAGTGGCCCGTGCCAGCCTTACCCTAAAGCCTCCAGAAGGTGCCAGGGCGTGCCCCTCCCTGGGCACTGGGTCTCATCGCCTGGCCAGCAGGAGCCCCTTGTTTCGCAGGATCCGGCCTGACCCCTCCTTGCTGCCGTCCCTGCAGACACCGCCTCGAGGAGGGCCAGGCCACCAGCTGGTCGCGCCGGCTCAAGGTGTTCCTGTGCTGCACCCGCACCAAGGACTCACAGTCCGTAAGTCCAGCAGGTGCAAAGTCAGGCTCTGCGGAGGGTGGCCGCGAGAACTTGGGGCATGGGGGGCGTAGTTGGCCGTCAGCTCTGAGCCCGGCCTGGGGCCTCAGTGCTGGGCACTGCCCGGGACCCCAGGGTCCCCAGGGGCTGCAGAGCCCATCTCATCTGTGGATAAGCTCATCTGTGGGCCGTCAGCAGAGGCCCCGAAGGGGTGTGGCTGAGTGTCCCCAGCTGGAAGGTGGCAGGGCGGGGCCGCTCCAGAAGCCAGCGAAGCCTCGAGGGGCAGCTCCACCCAGAGTGGGTGACCAAGCCTGAGAAGCTCTAGAATTGTGCAGCTGGTGCATGCAGGCTGCGCAAGGGCCGGCTGGGGGTGAGCATGCACGGCCCTGGGTCTTCTCAGAGTCTGGCACTCCCGAACGGGTGAATGATGCCGGGGCCAGGCCCAGCCCCCAGCTACATGCTGTAGGTAGGCTGGACTTTTTTTTTAAACCAGCTCAGCCAGCCCTGAGGGCAGGGCTGGCATAGTATGTGGTGCTGTGGATTGAACCGAGGTCCCCTGAACCTGCCTAAGCTTGCCTAAGCAGGAGCTTTAGACTGCTGAGCTATCTTGCTGGCCCCTGGTCTGGACTTTTAGTAAGTGTGTGCTCCTTTTGATTAGTCTGTGCTATGTTGTTTACAAACTGGCCTGGAGGCTAAGGCAGGAGGAGTGGGAGTTTGAGGGGCCTGGGCCACATGGTGATTTATGAAGACCACGTCTTGATATGGGAAAGGACAGGGCTGTGGCTTAGCTCAGAGGTCCTGGGTTCAGTCCCCAAGTTCCTGGTACACAGCAACAACAGCAATAAAACAGTAAGGGGCTGGGGAGATGGCTCAGTTGAATAAGTGCTTGCCTGGCAAGCATAAGGGCCTGAGTTCAATCCCCAGCTCCGAAAAAAAAAAAAAAAAAAAAATCACAATGACAACAAAATTGAAAGGCTGGACACCATGGCCTGTAGTACTGGCGATCAGGCTGCCGGAATTCGTGTGGGCCTTGTATCTGCACCTGGGAACTTGGGCCTCTCCCCAGCAGGTGCTGAGCACCAGCTGCTCCTGTGGGCACTGGCCTCCCCGTGCGGGTTCCTTTCCCACGTGCCAGACCCTCCAGGGTGAGCCCAGTGGGCAGAACTGTGCCACGTGTCCCTACCCGGTCTGGCCTGACAGCTCAGGCCAGGAGGAGGAGAGGGGCTACCGGCCCTCAGCTTCACTAAGGGTCCTGGGGGGCCTGGGCAGTGGCCCCAGGGCAGTATGTGGACCTGGGAGGCTCCCTACGCCCAAGGGGCATCCAGGTCACGTGGAAAAGGGCTCCGGGAAGCAGCAGGGCCCTTCTGGCCTGCGCTCCTGGTGTCGGGACAGGGAGGAGACGGCAGCGCTGGTACCACATGCAGTAGGTAGCGTGCTGTGGGCCCTGCACAGAGTGCGCCCTGGCCTCACTCCGCACTGTCCCCTCTGCCTGCCTGCACCCACAGGACGCCTACTCGGAAATCGCCTACCTCTTCGCCGAGTTTTTCCGAGACCTCGACATCGTGCCCTCCGACATCATTGCCGGCCTGGTGCTGCTTCGCCAGCGGCAGCGGGCCAAGCGCAGTGCCGTGCTGGACGAGGTGGGTGCCGGCCTCCCGGCCACTGCCGCAGCCCTGCTGCTGACCGGACCCCCGTGCGCCCTGGTTCTCTTCCCTCCGTGTGCAGAGTGACCCCTTCTCGGCCCAGCAGCAGCCACCCCTGGCCTCTGCTCTGCCGCCATGCCACCCACCCTATCTGCTGCTCCTGCATTCCCTTGGTCTTCATCTCGGTGTAGGAGGCGTCCCACAGAGCACCCCATGGTTGTGCTGCTTGGCTGGAGGAGGGCATCTGGAAAGGGGCTTCTGACCTGGAACCCTGGCTGCCCCGGGGCCTTGGGGAGCAAAGGAGCCCTGGAACTCTGGGCCACACCCACCACTGCCCCTGTCTTCCAGGCCAACAATGACATCCTGGCCTTTCTGTCTGGGATGCCCGTGACCAGAAACACCAAGTACCTCGACCTCAAGAACTCGGTGAGTCACAGGCCATTTCTGTCCCCCATCCTCTGCCCTCCAGAGAGCCCCAACTCGCAGAACATGGTCCCTCAGACTTCCTGGGCCTGTGGCGAGGCAGAGTGACCCCACTCACCCTCACTGTCTGCCAGGAAATCTGTTGAGGGCTCAATGATTTTCTGTCCCCAGCCCACTAATTCCGAGGTGGAGTGCAGGACAAGTCCCAGTTCGCTCTGTGCCCTAGTTGCCCAGATAATTAGGGACGTGCAGTTCCACTGAGGCCTGGCCCAGCCTCCCACCTGTGGGGTGAGCGTGATGGGGACAGGGCGGCCCGGCAGAGGGCGAGCGGCCCCTCTGGGTTGTCTTCCAGCACGAGATGCTGCGCTACAAGGAGGTCTGCTACTACATGCTGTTTGCCCTGGCGGCCTACGGCTGGCCCATGTACCTGATGCGCAGGCCCGCCTGTGGCCTCTGTCAGCTGGCCCGCTCCTGCTCGTGAGTGCCCGCCACCCAGCCGAGCCAGCACCCGCGCCCGCCTGGCCCCTGCACAGGCCCTTGCGGGGCAGCCAGGCACTCAGAGGCTCACTGCCCGGGGCTGAAATCCCAAGGGCCCCTTCCCCCCGGGCCTCTGCCGGGCCACCCTCTGCCCACGTCTTCCCACGTCCAGCTTTCCAGGCACACCATGCAGCCAAGGCTCCCTGCTCTGCCCGCCTGCTCTCTCTGGGGCAGAGACTCCAGGACAGACCCTGTGCTTACGTTGTTGAGTCTGGCCCAGGTGGCAGAAGCAGGACAGCTCCCGGGGCGCCTGTCCTGGAAAGGCTGGCAGGTTCCGCGGGGCCCCGCCTCCTGGAAAGCTGGTGGCCCCTTGGATGTGCTTCCTGTCGTGCCCGCAGCAGCTCCCGGGAACACTGGGCCCTCACGCTCTGTGCCCTTACTCGCCGGCCTCATGGGCCCAGCCTCCTCCCCGTGTGTGCAGAGGCCCCGGGAGCAGTTGGCCAGAAGTTCTGAGCCGGGCTGTGGTAGCGCAGGGACATCTGCCCAGCCCCAAGGGCTCTGCCTCATACGAGGGGGTGTGCTCACGGGGCACTTCGCCTCCCTCAAGGCCCCAGTGGGCAGGGGTAGGCACCCTGCAGACACGGTGTGGGACTGGCATCCACCTGCTTGGGTGCAGGGCGCGCCGAGCCCAGGGACAGGCTCGGGGCCGCACCTGCTTGGTCTGGCTTGCTACTGGCGCTGGCTTGCTGCTTCCCCAGGCCCTTAGGGCCCTGCCCCAAGGAGACTGCACCCACACTGTGAGTGAGGAAAGTGAGGCTTAGAGGGCAGCGCTTCCTCTGGGAGGGTGCAGAATGCAGGGTCGGGCCCCCAGGCCGGCTGCCCCAGGAGGAGCCCTGTCCAGCCCTGCTGCTAAGTCCTGGCCTCCAGCCCCGCTTCTGGAGGGTAAAGGGCAGGCTGCGCCCCAGGCATCAGGGTCTCGGCTGGACCCAGCGCTTTTTCGAGAGAATTCCCCTGTGAGGCAATGACAGCTCACAAACTGCTCTGCAATGAGGGAGGTCAGGGTCTTGGATAGAACTCAACTGTGTGCCTCGGCGCTCGCCAGGCGCCAGTGTGCGGGCTGCTGGCGCCCTCTGCTGGCTAGAGGAGCAGCTGCAGCGGCCGGCGTGTTCCATCTTCCAGGCTGCCGGTGCGGTGTGGGATTGGGAGAGTGCTCGTGCCCGCCCCGTGTGTGTCACCACGGCCCGATGGGGCAGGCAGTGCTGTTCTGGCGGGGCGCTGGGTGCGAGGGTGATTGAAGGAGGGCCAGATGCGGGCCAGTGGGCCAGGACTGAGGGGCCACTCCGTGTGGGGGTGGGGAGGAGCCGCTGCAGAGGCCCAGGGTAGGGCTGTGGGGGTGTTGGGGGCCCCAGTGTGGGACTCTTGGAGGTCACTGCAAGGGTGATCATGGGGATGGGGAGAGACCTGCTGTCCCTCGCGCAGCTGCTGCCTGTGCCCCGCACGGCCCCGGTTCGCCCCCGGTGTCACCATCGAGGAGGACAACTGCTGTGGCTGCAACGCCATCGCCATCCGGCGCCACTTCCTGGACGAGAACATGACGGCGGTGGACATCGTCTACACCTCCTGCCACGACGCGGTGAGCTCTGGCCTCTGTGCGCTGCCATGGGACGCCAAGGTGGCTCAGGGGTGGGCGGGGGTCCGCGTGGGCCTGGCTGGGGCGTGGCTGAGGCCTGCCTGGAGCAGGGCTCCTGCGCGGCTTCGGGACAGGGCCGAACACCGAGCGAGCGGGCGGCGGGATAGCGCAAGCTGGGCCGGCTCTGGGCTCACGCACTGCCGCCCCCAGGTGTACGAGACGCCCTTCTATGTGGCCGTGGACCATGATAAGAAGAAAGTGGTGATCAGTATCCGGGGAACCCTGTCCCCCAAGGTACCTCCTGCCCCTCGCAGCCCAGCGTCTCACCCTGCCCTCCCCACTCTGACCTGCTGCCCCCCTCCCCCCAGGACGCCCTGACTGACCTGACGGGGGATGCTGAGCGCCTCCCTGTGGAGGGCCATCGCGGCACCTGGCTGGGCCACAAGGTACTTGCTGCTCCTGATGGGGCCCGCTTCCTGGGCTGCAGGACAGCAGGCAAGGGCTGGCTTCCTGAAAGCCTTGTGTGGCATGTCCTCGGGCCCCATCACCAGCACAGGCTGCCCCAGGGCAGCAGAGAGGCCACACCCGTCTCTGCCAACACCACCTGCCAGGCGTCAGGTTTCCTAGGGAAGAACAGCCCGTCCTCACAGCCAGGCTGTTCTGCGGAGCAGGGGAGGGGGTCAGGGGCTCGGGTCTCTGGCCTCCTGTGACACCTCTGTGCCCCGCCCAGGGCATGGTGCTGTCTGCTGAGTACATAAAGAAGAAGCTCGAGCAGGAGATGGTCCTGTCACAGGCCTTCGGACGAGACCTGGTGAGGCAGGTTTCATGCTGTGGGCATTGGGCACCCGCACCACACCTCAGGGCCCTGGGTCTGGCAGCCTTGCGGGAAGGAACATCTGGGAGAAGCTTGGGGCACAGCAGGAGGATGAGGATGGTCAGCAGCCCCGCCTGGGCTCAGCGCAGGCAGCTGGGACACCGCCCGCAGCAGTGCGGGGCACTCAGGCCTCTCATCCGCAGGGCCGAGGCACCAAGCACTACGGCCTGATCGTGGTGGGCCACTCCCTGGGCGCGGGCACAGCAGCGATCCTGTCCTTCCTCCTGCGCCCGCAGTACCCAACCCTCAAGTGCTTTGCCTACTCGCCCCCTGGGGGCCTGCTGAGGTGAGCAGTCAGACCCACGGGGCCAGGGCCGGGTGGGCACGGGGCTTCTGGCCATGGGGGAGGCTTGGGCACTGAGCGAGTGGGGCTGGCGACAGTCACTTCCTACACACACTCATGAGCACAGACCCCCAGGCACCCGTCTTGGGGCGGGGCTTAGTCCTGGGATAGCACCCCAGCAGGAGATAACAGACATAGACCCAGGCCTGGCTCACGGTGACACGACCTGCATGTCCCCGTGGTGGGCAGACGAGGGCAGTTATCTGCCCTGTTCAGCCCTGGCTCAGCCTTCCAGCAGGAGCTGCCCAGGAGCCCCGACCCACCGCAACTTCCCTTGCAGCGAGGACGCGATGGAGTATTCCAAAGAGTTTGTGACAGCTGTGGTTCTGGGCAAGGACCTAGTCCCCAGGTGGGTCCCCTCCTGTGTGGCCCCAGGAGGGCTGACCCCCCCACTTCAGAATCTGAGGAACCCCAGGGGCCCTTCATAACTGCACTTGCCTGTCATGAGAAGAGAGGGTTGTGGGCCCCCTTGCTCCACCCCACATTGTCCTCATGACCCTGGTGTCCCGTCTCCCCAGGATTGGCCTGTCGCAGCTGGAGGGCTTCCGCAGGCAGCTACTGGATGTACTGCAGCGAAGCACCAAGCCCAAGGTAGGTCCCTTTCTCCCATGTCATGGGACAGAGCCCACCAGGCCCACAGTGTGTCCTGGGAACTCAGGCCTCCAAGGCCTGTTAGCACCATGGGGAAACTGAGGCTGAGTATGGGCAGGATTTGCATATAACCCTTGGGGTCCTAACTAGGTTGCCCAGGCTGAGGGTCTGGGCACAGCCCACCCTGCTCCCCTGTGGGGCCCCTGTGGATGCCACCCTTCCAGAGGTGCAAGGGTGCCCTGGGAGCTGTGTGCAGGGTCCTCTAGGTCACCTCCACCCTGCAGCACCCCTGGGTATCTGGGACCATGCAGGCTGGCTTGGGACAGGTGGGTGGAGGGAAGGCGGTGGCTCTGTGGGGATCCCAGCCTGGGTGCTGACCTGGCCAGGACTCATAGCCATGACTCACCCAGCCACCACCGGCGCCTGCGCCTGGGACCCCACTGCCCTTCGTCCTCTGTGCACAGCCCTGCCTAGCCCTCTGGCCCATGCCCTGCCCTGCCTTGCCCCCACACCCCCACCGGTTCTGCCGCTGTACTCTCCCTGTCCCTCCCCACAGTGGCGGATCATTGTGGGGGCTACCAAGTGCATCCCGAAGTCGGAGCTGCCTGAGGAAGTGGAGGTGACTGCGCTGGCCAGCAGCCGGCTCTGGACTCACCCCAGTGACCTGACGATTGCCCTGTCAGCCAGCACCCCACTGTACCCACCCGGCCGCATCATCCACGTGGTGCACAACCACCCTGCGGAGCACAGCTGGTAGGTGCCTACACTGCTGCCCCCAGGTAAGGAGGGCGGCCAGGGCCCACACCTGGGTGCAGGCATGAGTCCCCACTGGCTCTCCTCCGGAGCTGGGGCGCGGGCCTGGCCCAGCTCTGGGCTTCCCAGACAGAGCCAGCACAGCCTGACGGACCCCTGTCCCCATCAGCTGCTGTGAGCAGGAGGAGCCCACGTACTTCGCCATCTGGGGCGACAACAAGGCCTTCAATGAGGTGATCATCTCGCCAGCCATGCTGCACGAGCACTTGCCCTACGTGGTCATGGAAGGGCTCAACAAGGTGAGCATGGCTTTGCCAGCAGGTGCCGGGCAGCACAGGGTGGTGAGCTGCCTTGTCGGGGCCGGGCCAAGCCCTGGCCTTGGCAGCACCAGTGGGCAGGGGTGCCACTGTGGGCAGGAGGAACCAGGTGCAAGGTGGGACTGGCCGACCTCCCACTGCAGGTGCTAGAGAATTACAACAAGGGGAAGACGGCGCTGCTGTCCGCGGCCAAGGTCATGGTGAGCCCCACTGAGGTGGACCTCACGCCCGAGCTCATCTTCCAGCAGCAGCCGCTGCCCACGGGGCCTGCGCTGCCCACCGGGCTGGCTCTGGAGCTTCCAGCCCCCGAGCAGTGCAACAGCAGTGTCAGGTGAGCCCACCTGCCGGCCCAGGTGCCCGGGAAGGCTCCACATACCCATGTGTGTGGTGCCCCTGCTTCTCCGCTGCCGCAGTCCTGAGGCATGCAGTTACGTGCACACGTCACAGCCAGCCATACTGTGTTTCTGTTTGGCCTTTTTGAGACAGGGTTTAGCTATGCAGCTCAGGCTGGCCTTGAACTCGCAGCAGTCCTCCTGCCTCAGCCTCCCAGAGTGCTGGGATGAGAGGCATTACCTCACTGTGCCTGGCACGTGGGTGTACTGAAGTACGCGAAAGCATGTGTCTGTGCACATTGGTCAGCCACAGTGCGCAGGTCACCCCTGCAGATGTGCAGGGTACTGGACATGCACACACACCAGCTGACACACCAGATATCTGGTGCGCACACAGGTGTCATGGTGCACTGGATGAGCGGTCACACACTCCTGGCAGGAAGGCAGGCAGCCAGCAAGGAGCCTTGACCGTGGGGGGAGGCTGCCGGGCGGGGCTTCAGACCCCGTGGCACCAAGGAGGTGCTGATGGGCCCCGCCCTGCTCTGTGCGGCGCCTGCTGCACCTTCCTGGGTGGTCCAGAGTCGAGGGCCCTCACCTGCACCCCTCCCCGCAGGAGCAAGTCCCAGTCCGAGATGAGCCTGGATGGCTTCTCGGAGGGCCGTCTGCTGTCCCCTGCGGCTGCAGCCGTGGCTGCCCGCCAGGACCCCGTGGAGCTGTTGCTGCTGTCCACTCAGGAGCGGCTGGCAGCAGAGTTACAGGCCCGGCGGGCGCCGCTGGCCACCATGGAGAGCCTGTCAGACACTGAGTCACTGTACAGCTTTGACTCGCGCCGCTCCTCTGGCTTCCGCAGCATCCGTGGCTCGCCCAGCCTGCATGCTGTGCTGGAGCGTGATGAGGGCCACCTCTTCTACATCGACCCGGCCATCCCTGAGGAGAACCCGTCCCTGAGCTCTCGCACTGAGCTGCTGGCTGCTGACAGCTTGTCCAAGCACTCGCAGGACACACAGCCGCTAGAGGCTGCCCCGGGCAGTGGTGGTGCCACGCCTGAGCGGCCCCCAAGCGTGGCCCGCGCCGAGGAGGAGGCGGTGTCAGTGGTGGCCGGGGACAGTGTTGGATCGCTCCGTGGGGATCTGGCCCTGCACAATGGCCGCCTGGGGGACTCGCCCAGCCCACAGGTGCTGGAGTTCGCTGAGTTCATAGACAGCCTCTTCAACCTGGACAGCAAGAGCAGTTCCTTCCAGGACCTGTACTGCATGGTGGCCCCCGAGAGCCCCACCAGTGACTATGCTGAAGGGCCCCGCTCTCCCAGCCAGCAGGAGATTCTGCTCCGTGCCCAGTTTGAGCCCAACCTGGTGCCCAAGCCCCCACGGCTGTTTGCCGGCTCCGCGGAGCCGTCCTCAGGCGTTTCCCTGTCCCCATCCTTCCCACTCAGCTCCTCAGGCGAGCTTATGGACCTGACACCCTCAGCCCTCAGCAGCCAGGAGTGCCTGGCAGCTGACAAGGCCCGGACCGCCACGCCCACTGGCCGAGGGGATGACCTGGTCATCCCTGCACGCTAGTTGGCTCTACAAGCTGCTGCTGGGCCTGGTGGCTCCGAGGGGCTGGGTGGCCTCAGGATGGAGCGGCCCTGTGAGCTGAGTGTCTGCATCCCTACCTCAGCCTAGGACCCTGGTCGCTGGGACCTGGCCCTGTGGAGCGGGACGGGCGGCTGGGCAGGCTCATCCGAGGGTGTCCCACTCCCCAGTTCTGAGCAGGTGTGGGCAGCCAGCCCCCGTCACTGCCCTCCAGCTCCCGGCCCCCAGGGCCAACACTGGCATCTGCCCTGCCATCCCCAACTCTGCTGCCTGCTGGCCAGCCCCTGGGGGTGGCCTCACCAAGGTGGCCACAACGCTGTGTTTACAGAAGCAGCCGTGGAGGGTTCACGGAAAAGCAGGGTGGCCCTGTCTCCACCCCTGGACCTGGAGCCCCAACCTGCCCCGCCTGCCTGCTGTTTCCTGGCCCTCATTCCACCCCCAGGGACCCTGGCCACTCACGAGGTGGTGGACACAGCCGGGACCGCTCCTGGCTGCAGAGTCAGCGCCCTGGGCAGAGAGAGACACTAAGGCCTTCCACAGAGAGCCCCCCTCCCCCCCTTGTGTACCCCCAGCCGGCCCGGCAGCCTGGGCCTGGAATCTGAAGCCAAATGCACCCCTGCCCCCGCCCTCGGTGGCCTGGGCTCCTTGTGGGACCCGGGCACTGCGTCCTCTTGGCAGGAAGCTGGGCGGTGCAGACCCTGTGCCCCGCCCAGGGGCGGGGCCTCCCTGCCGGGCAGGGAGGCCATGCATGCGGGCGCGGGCGCCGCGTGTGTGCATGTGCGCGAGCGAGCGAGCGCCTTTCCTGAGGAGCACCACCCCAGCCCTTCCCAGCCCACCCAAGGGCGGGGGTGTGGGGCTCCGTCCTGGAGCATGGCTCCTCCTCCCCTTGCTTCCCGCACCACGCGGGGCTGCCCTATACCCTCACCCTGGCCCATCTCATGCCGCCCTGCCCCGCAGTCACTGGTACCTGGGCGCCCCCACCCCACAGACTGGGACCTTGCCTGGCACTGATCACCCAAGGAGGGAGCTGGGTCTCCCTCTTTCTCTGAGCCTCCCGCTTCCCCGCACCAGCCTGCCCCTGCCCAACCCGAAGCGAGACAAGTCTGCGGCGCTCGAACTGGAAACGCTAGGCCAGCTCCAGTAGAGGAGTCGCCTGCCAGTCTGGGGTCTCTGCCAGGGTGGAGGGTCTGATCTGGGGCGCCTAGGCCGTCAGGGACACACACACACATCCACGGCTGGCACTGCACCGTGTTCCGCCCTGAGCCGGGGTCCTACCAGCCTGAAGGACGGAGCTGCACGACCCGTCCTCAGTGGGGGCCTGAGCCACTCCTCAGTCTGGGGCTCTGACAGCCCCGACCCTCAGCACAAGCTCTCCGGCCGGCCCCCTCCGTAGCCGGCCCCTCCCCTCTCTGCGTGCCATTCCCGTGACTTTTATACCTAATGTATGAGAGAGCCACGCTAATACTGCTGTACAGAGGAGAGACGGATGCATATAGCTTATCTATAAATACATCTGTATATACGGGTTCTGTATATTGTATAGAACTGTGTATAAATGGACGTAGGAGCACGCTGGCTGCCTCAAGTGAGCTCTCTTCTGACGCGGGGATGCTGCAGGGTGGGGAGGAGCAGAGAAGCAGGGAAGGGAATGGGCTCCCGGGCCCAAGCCCATTCTGCCGGAAGAGCAAAGTGTGTTCGGGTGCTGTGGTCAGGTGTGTGGCTCCTCCAGTCCTGTTTGAAAGTAGCACCAGAGCTGGCATAATCCAGGCACTAGGGAAGCTGAGGCAGGAGGATCGCAAGTTCCAGTTTCAGGTGGGCAGCTTTAGTGAGACACTTTCAAAAATAAAAAGGGTTGGGGGCTGGATATGGTAGCGCATGCCTGTAATCTGCTCTCAGGAGGTTAAGGCAGGAAAATCGTTGTGCGAATTCAGGGCCAGCCTGGGCAACAGCATCCTGAGCTCAATGCTAGCATGAACTGCACAGCGAGACCCTGTCTCAAAAAGACAAAATATAACAACTAAATAAAAATGGTTATGGACGTAGCCCAGTGGCTCGCGCTCCCTGGGCTCCACGCCTGTCCCCACACGTACCGTGCACACTCCATGCTGGCTTGGGTCCGTGAGGCCTAGCGCCTGTGCTCTGCACCCTGCCCTTAGCTCCAAGCTCAGCTGAGTCCAAGGCCCAGGGCCACACAGCTCCAGCCAGGAACAGCGGACGTCACACACGTGGGACTAGGCCCCCTAGCCACCCTGCCTGGCCTCCTGGGTGTCTATTTGTCATGGCTTCGCCAGCTGTTTTCCCTGTGGGTTCCAGTTCTCTAAGGGGTATGGGCTGCCCAGGCTGGCAGCACCAGGACCACCTGCCATGTGAAGCGCTGGGCAGAGGAGGCAGACCTGAAAGGAGGGCCACTGCCAGATGTGGCTATCTACCCGGGGACCCCAGGACCCCAGGACAGGAGAGCCTCGCCTGCCGCCGTCACACAGCAGAGTGCTTTTCCTGTCCACAGCCTCGGGGACAGAGAAGCCCCGGGGCAGCAGCCCCAGGAACCGTGAGTCCCCAACCCTAGCACCTCTACTCCTGGGACCCGTGCTAGCCAACAGAGGCCCCATCTCTCGGGGGCAGAGCCAGGCCCAGAGAGGCCACCACGTGGAGGGGACTTCATATCACAGTGCCTGCCACCACCCCATCCAGCCACTGCCCACCAGGGAGTTGGGCCTCGTGGTGAGCAGGGGCTCTCCACCACCCAGTGGCTGCAAGGCCTTCTGGAGCCCCTCACAAGCGGGTGGCCCAGGCCCAGCTGTCCGGAAGAGCGTGGAGCTAAGCCCAGAGGGGCTGCATGGGCCCTGGGCAGCCCTAAAGATAAGAGACACTTGCTCCCATGGAGCACAGGGCCTGGGGAGAAGGGCAGTGGGCCGGGGCCTCACAGAGGACAGAAGCCTAGGTGTCTTGCTGGGCAGTGCACAGCTGAGCTTCAGTGAGCCCGCGCTCTATACCTAGGCCTTGCTGCCCATGGACAGGCCACAGAGCCACCCATTGTGTCTGCCCAGCCCCCGTGCCCTCCCCCAGCAAGAACTGTGAGGCATTGACCCAGCTGGGCCACCAAGGCCTGTGACAGGCCACATTTGGTTTGGGCACTAACCTGCTTTACCCTTGATTTTGCTCAGGTGGGGGAGTGGGAGGGGCAAGAGGAGAAGGGAGGAGGGGGAGGGGTAAGAGGAGGGGGAGGGGAGGAGGAGGGAAAGCAGGAGGGGAAGGGGAAGAGAAGGGGGAAAGGAAGAGGAGGGGGAGAAGGAGGG